CTGCCTAAGCAGAAGGGTATTGAACTAGAAAGCCTCCAAAGTCTTTCCCAACTTTGTTATTCTATTCTATTCTAAATATTGGAACAGTGCTATTTTATTGTGCTATTTTATTGTGAGTTGGACTAAGGAGAAATTTCCTAAGGGTGAGATCAATCAAGTTGGCCATGCCCATCCAGTCACATGACCACCCAGCCACACCACCCAGTTATTAGGTCAGAGAACCGGTTGTTAAATTATTTGAATCCTACCACCTCTTTCCTTAGTGTCTTGCAGTAGCTTATATCTAATTCTTGGGATTTTTCCCCTTGCCATGAACTTAGAAATATCCTTCTGCCATTATGGATTGTCAGTTATAAGTATTGGTAATGTCTGAAATAAAAAAGCATCTTTGGTAAAATATTATTCTTGATTACAGAGATTCTACCCAATAATGATAAGTGCAGTTTATCCCATCTTTGTAAATCCTGTTTAATATCCCTCCAAAGAGAGGCATAATTGTTTTGAAACAGTTTTCTATTTGTATTTAGAAACATAAGCCCTTTCTCCTTTTTCTCAACTCTAAAACCTGACTTTTTGTTCAATATATCGCTATCCTGAGAAGACATATTCTTGATCAGCATTGTTGTTTTCTGTTTATTTATTTTAAAAGCTGCCAAGGCCCCAAATTCATCTAATTTCCTCATCAAATATTCTATATTGTTTTTTGGGTCCTGTAAAAATATAATCAGCAAATGCCCTCTTAATATTTATACCCTTTATTTTATCTTGTCTGATACCTCTATTCAGAACTTCCAATACCAAAATAAACAACAGAGGGGGCAAGGGGCTTGTACCCTTTTGAATTTCACATGAGTTAATTAGATCACCTCGATGACAATTTTTACATTCTATGATGTCGCTTTAATTCTATGATGTTGCTTTAATTCCTTAGATAAAATTCTCTCCAAAGTCCATTTCTTCCAACACCTTAAACATCAAAACCCAATTTAGGTTGTTGAAGGCCTTCTCTGCATCCAAAAATATTAAGGCAGCCTATTCCTCATTAAGGTATTGTAAGTATTCAATAATATTTAAGACAGACCTCTTAGCTGTCTTTTCGGCAGAAAGCCTGTTTGGTCTTCATGTATATATGCCTATAAAATCTTCTTTAGTTTTTCTGCCAGAATGGCAATGAAAAATTTGTAATCTTTGTTTATTGGTGAAATTGGTCTATAATTCTTTGTCTTTGTAACATTTTGATCCTCTTTTGGGGACAACACAATATTGGCTTCTATCCATGTCTGGGGTGTATTTCCCCACTGTAGTATATCATTCATTGTATCCTTTAATGTTTGAAGTTTGTTCTCAAAGCACTTATAGTATTGGCTTGTGAGACCATCTGGGCCTGGGACTTTGCCTGGCCTCATTTTTTTAATGGCTTCTGATATCTCAAAGACAGTTATTGGATCATTCATCAGTTGTCTCTGGGTTTGTGAAAATTTAGGCAACTGTTGCCTTAAAAGATATATATCTATTTTAAACACATCTATTTCATGTCTTTTAGACAAATTTGAGTAGAAATTTGAAGGGACTTTTTAATAAGTTCATTATCTGTTATTACATTATTGCCATCACAGATTTTTCCAATCATTGTCTTTTCTCTTTCTTTTCTTAATTTATATGCCAATCATTAACCTGGTTTATTTGCAAACTCAAAATGTCTTTGTTTCACGTAGTTCTAAATGGTTTTCTGAAACCAGTGTAACCTATGAAAGTGTCTGTACTTCCCCACTAGAATATTTTTTTTTGTAAATTTTATTTGAGTTTTCACAAAAAGAAAAGAAACACAATTAAAACATATTTTTTGAAAGCAGCATAATCCCGGGTTACATTTCTTCGTGCAGACACAATTTCAGGTTCATGCTCATTTTTATATTCTAGTCCATATCTTATTACAATTTTACATTTTCTACATAGCTTCTCCCCTCTTTTAATTTCCTCAATTTTATTATATTTATTTCATCTCAATTCAAATCATTATATTTATATGTTATGTCCGTCCTGTTTCAATTGTCTATTATCTTTTCTCATTAAACAAAATTTCTCCTGTAGTTACTGATTGGAGTATGACGCCTTTATATCTTTCCCCTAAAGTTATAACACTCAATATAATACATAGCTTCCATTCAGATTCTGTTTGGTACATTCTTAAACTACACACAATATTCTTAAAAAAGAGAAAAAATTATAAATGTATATAATTAAAACAACATTCCATTCCAATTCAATTCTATCATTAATATTAAAATTCATTAAAGTCTTAAGATTTTTCACATTGCTTTTCAATTAAATATCATACCTCTATGGGAACAATTATTAGCTTTCCATAATCAATTCCCCCCCTCTTCACTTATATTTTATGAAACATTGACTAATTAAAGTGTTCCCATTCCTTCCTAATTCAATTTTCTCATTTATTTCATTTCATTTACTTTATTTACAAACATTTCACTAAGTTACACTTACCATTCTATCCCTCATTCTAATCATATGTTGTTTCCAATTTTCTAAAGTTATTTCTATTTCAAATATAACAACACAATCTCATGTACCTTTACAGAATCCCCCTTTCAGTTAAATTTTTACCCATTATCTCTAAATAGGTCCTGTTTCTTTATATCTTGCTCCAGACCTTTGTGACTTCTTTTCCTTTCCTTCTTCCCTCTCTTCTTCTCCCTCCCCTTTTTACCCCTTTGTCTCTCTACCTCTACTTCCCTCTTCTGTATTCCCCTTTTCTGTTGCTTTCCAGTATTATACTTATTTTTTTAATTATTTTTCTTTTCTTTGGTTGTTTTTTTTTAAATCTTAAATTCTCCATCTTCTTTCCCCTCTTTCCTTTTTCTTCCCCACATAGAGTTACTTGTTCATTAAAGATGGCTTCTTCTTTGTCCCAGTCTTCTTGTTTTGCAGTCTTTTCTTGTTGTTTCTCATAGTTCCAAATCTCCATTTCTAAGAATTGAAAAACGAAGCCAAAGGAACCCTTCCCTTCTTGTGCCTCTTCTTTGTACTTTTTAAGTTCCATTTTCAATTCATCGAAAAGTGATGCCATTGTAAAAAATTTTAAACAACCACCCGATTGATTTTAGTCATTCAAATATAATAGCCAAAAATCCAAAAGTCACCAAATAATCCAAATACACACAAACTGATTCTTTTTGCTCTTTTTTCCCCACTTTCTCTTCCTGGGGTTACTATTTAGTTGCAAAGTTTCAGTTAAAATGTATCTTTTAGAAGTCTTATTGAAATTTTACTTTAGATTCTTTTAAAGTCCAGGCAGTCTCCTCCTTCTTCCAGATCCTGCCCTTATTCTTTTTCTCTCCCTTCCTGCTTATAGAAGAAAAAGTTTTTAATGTCCAGAAATCTTTATTGTCCCTTTGGCATTTAGTTTTATTTTCAGCTTAATTGCCTGTTGAAGCCAAAGCGGATTTTTCCAATTTCTTATTCTTGATTGTCAATATAAGGAAGGAGAGAGAAGAGGAAAAAAAAGCCAAACCTTTCCCTTTTCACTTTCTTTCACTGCTTCCAACTCTTCTTTGGGAGCGATGTTATTTCTTGTAAAATTTAAATTCCAGGGTACCTTAGTTATTGCTTTTTCAACTTAGCCCAGTCAGCCAAAACTTTCACTTCTTATCTTCCTCCTGCACGTTCTTTTCCGGTTGAGTACTTCTTTGAGGTGGCCATTTCTGACCACCGCTCCTACCGCCTTCAGGAAAGGGAGTTTGACCAGCTGAGGAGGAGACATGCGGCTCTCCTCGACCCTGCTGGCAGTCTCCCCCTTCTTCACCACCTCTACGGGGTGGCTTAGCCCCAAAACCAGCCAGCTTGGGGCGCTCCAGCGGCGAGCCCAGGCAGAAACCGTGCATGATCGCGGATTCCTGTCTGTCGCCGAAGCCCTTCAAACCGGAAGTCCCCACTAGAATATTATACAGGGCTGTTAAGGAGAGTTTTAGTGGAACTTATAATGAACAAGAAATGCAAGTAAATATAATTCACATTCACTGTATAAATCTATATAGATTTATATAGCAAACTATATAAATTTATGGGCAAAAACACTTGAATATTTCCTGAATTTTAAAAGTTTACAACAAAATATTTGCACTGTTTAAACATGAATAAGATTGTGCCCAAGTGCATCCATGTTTAGAGTAGATGTGATGAAATCACTGAAGTCAGGCTAACCCATCTTATTGACTTCAATTGATAGATCATCTCTGATTCTTGGACTAGTCTACACACATGCACTTATAAATATTTTAAGAACTAAATTAATACGTTTGAAATGTTCAGGATGTGTGAAATGTCAAATCAAGATTGATATGGAAGCAATCTGATTTAGATCTTTCAACTTTAATTCCTCTCTAATTTCAATCTAGAAATAATTTCAGAATAATTTTTTCTGTGTGTGCACACAAGTCCATTGAATTAATTTAGAAATCTTATTTGGTGAAGTGTTACTGAAAGTGAATTTCAAATGGAATTTTCATAAGACCCAGTTTTTGGTTTGAAAAGACTGAGCGGTCCTTGGTTCTCTCTGAGTTTGGTTGCTTCCTTGAAGATGCTTGATTACCCAAACTAGGTAACATAAACAATGCTAATATGATGACTAGCATGATGATGTTACCTAGATTGGATAACATCTGCAAGGAAACAACCATGCTTAGGAAGCATCAAGCACCCCTCGTTTCAATCCTGAGCTTCAAAATTAAGGGAGGAGAGATGGCTAGATGCATATGATTAATTAACTAATTCTCTGCCTCACTCTCCTGGATCATGTGTCCCATGACCTTTTATTAAAGCATTGAAAAATTTGTAGAAGTCATGCTCTGCATATTTTGCCTTCCCTGTTAAGATCCAACTTTACTTTCTTCTTACATGAATTAGATGTATTTTGCAGATGATAAGTTAAGTGGAATAATGGCCATGCTGACATATATCATTAATATACTATTTGACAATAGCATCCTGATCAACCCACCTTCTGCAATTAAACTCCATTACAACACAATGGGCTTTTTCATTGCTGCCTCTGTCCAGGAACTGAAAAGGTAATCTCTTTTAATTATATAAATTTGATTGGGGGGGTATTGAAAAATAGTTTATTACCACTGAATATGAAGAAATGAAATAAAGCTATTTTGTCTGTTTTCTCAGCTTTTCTGTCTAATCCATTTTTTTGTTCCACTTTTATTATCCAGAGCTTATTATTACTGTACACAATGCCACAGTGGGATCACCAATCCTGAGCTCATTGTGAAGTGTCATTGCAAAAGAAAAAGTGTGAAAAAACCAATCCCAGATTCTGGTAATTTAATCTTCATTTCAGTAGCTTTAATGTATTGACAGATAATTGCTGGTGTCATGTGACATAAGTCTTCTGCATTTCTTTTTATCATTCCCATGCCATGTTATGAAAAAGAAATGATTCCTGGTTTTTTTTTAAGAAGAAGAAAATGTGGGTGAAATATTCATGGATGAGGCATTAAATTAGTTATAAAATATCATCATTCATTATTAGGTCCTGTGCAGAGCACATTGGATAGCAAGTGTTTTCCAGCTACAAAATAGGTGATTGGCTCAATCACAGTAACTGTGAGAGGGATCTTTGGGTCCTAGTGGACAATTACTTAAATAAGAGTCACCATTATGCTGCAGCCATCAAGAAAGCTAATGCAATTCTAGGCTTCATTATTAGAGGGATAGAATCAAGATGACATGAAGTGTTCAGTACCAATTTATAAAGCTTTGTAAGACCACACTTGCAATACTGTATCCAGTTTTGGTCCCCACAATATAAAAATATGTTGAGACTCTGGAAAGAGTGCAGAGAAGAGCAACAAAGAGTGTTAGAGAGTTGGAGACTAAAATGTATGTGGAACAGTTGTGGGAACTGGGTATGTCTAGGCTAGTAAAAAGAAGGGCTATGGGTGACATGATAACACTGTTCCAATATTTGAGGGACTACCACAAGGGGGGTCAACTTATTTTCCAAAGCACCAGATAAGAAGTAATAGATGAAAACCAATCAAAAGAGAAGCAATCTAGAAATTTCCTGACAGTAAAAACAATCAACCAGTGGAACAGCTTGTCTTCAAAGGTTGTGGGTGCTCCATCATTGGAGGCTTTTAAGAATAGATTGGGTAGCCATTTGTCTGAAATGGTACAGGATCTCCTGCTTGATCTAAAAGACCTTCGAGTTCCCTTCCAACCCTGATGACATGTTCTAAATGTCACCCTACCCTTTGTCCATTCATAATGCCAATTGTTTGCATTCACTCTGATTTTTAATGCCTCAATTGAACCCAAGAGAAAATCATAGGAATCCCAAGCTCCCTTAGGATTTGTTTTGGATCAGAAGCTACAGTCATCTAGGATCCTCTTAAGTAATGGAGACATGTAATTCTAAACAAAGAATATTAACATCATCTGTCCCATCACAAATAAAGAAAACTCAAGAAGTCTAGAAAACTCAAGAGTCTAGAATAGCAAACTATTCTAAAGCATCCTGAGAATGAGAGGAGGCAAAAGAACTTTGTGGATGAAAAATAGATATTTATTAATTTAGATAGATATACACAGTACTAGCCTTCATGCTGAGCTAGTCTGATGTAGTGGGTGAGGCACCAGACTAGATAGTATGTTCTAGTCTCATCTTGGGTTTAAAGCCACATGAGTTACCTTGGGCAAGTCATCTGCTCTCAGCCTTAGAAAGGAGGCACTGGAAAGTCACTTCTGAAATCTTGCCAAGAAAACTATAGGGACTAGCACAGGAAGTCACCAGGAGTCAACCCTGATTTGAAAGAGAAAGGAAGGAAAGAATGAAGGAAGGAAGGAAGGAAGGAAGGAAGGAAGGAAGGAAGGAAGGAAGGAAGGAAGGAAGGAAGGAAGGA